TTATAGAGTTAAGGTGGTTTAAAAATGCAGTTACTTTGTCAGATGGTAAAATTGTGAAGGTGTTGTCTACGTACCGCTTGTAGAATCTTGGATTTACAGGCGCAGTAAGAAGGGCTTTCTCCTCGAAGTCCTCCATAAATATGTCGGCGACTATGGGAGATACAGGTGAGCCCATCGCCACACCATCTACTTGCTTGTAGAACTCTTCCTTCCACAATAGATAGCCAGATGTGAGGCAATGTTTGAGTAATACTGCATATTCAGCAGGCATGTTGTTATCTTCTAGCTTCCTAGTTACAATTGAGATGCAGTCTTCAATAGGTAGGCATGTGAATAGTGACTGAACATCAAAACTGACCATAGTTTCATTGTCAGCGAGATGTAGGTCTTTTATCTCACTAACAAAATGGTATGAATCCTTTGTGTGTGCTCTGGTATGTCCTCTAAGTGGTGACAGTATTTTTGCCAAGTGTTGTGCTAGCTTATAAGTTGGTGAATCAATCTGTCTCACTATAGGACGTAGTGGAGCGTTTGGTTTGTGTATCTTCGGTAACCCATACAACCTTGGTGGTTTGGTACATGATGGTATTAGCGAATTCACGTCGAGATTTAATTTTTCGGAGTATTTCTTTATTAAATCGCTAGTTGCTTTAAGCGTGTTAGTTGTGGGGTCTGTTTTGACCTTTTTATATGTACTTTCGTCCGATAAAAGCTGTAGTATTTTAAAATTATAATCTGACGTGTCCATTATTACCGTAGCGTTTCCTTTATCCGCGCGGAGAATCGTTAGCTGTGGTCTGTTCCGTAAGTTAATCAACGCTGTAAATTCGTCTTTAGAAAGGTTTGGTTTCGGCACTGCACTACGACGTAACAAGGACGAAATATCTTGATGTATAGCCTCCAAATCTTCCTTACCGATATAATTCTTTAACAGACAGTCCTCAACACTGCAGATAATTTCTTCGTACGGGATTTTTCGCGGTGATAATGCGAAGTTCATTCCCTTCGCTAATACCTTTATTGTCGGTTCGTCCAGTGTATGTTTTGACAGATTATAGACCGTGCGTTGTTTGTTGTTTACGTCTGTGGTCAACGGTTGTGTTTCGTTCTGACGTTGACTTAGATGGTTGGCATTTGATTTGATCGTTAATTTTGGGTATTTTTCTATTTGTTTATTTTTGCATTCATTGTATTTAATAAATAAACAAATAGAAATAAATACAAAATACAAAAATAAAAAAATAGAAAAATACCAAAAATTAACGATCAAATCAAATACCAACCATCTAAGTCAACGTCAGAACGAAACACAACCGTTGATCACAGACGTAAACAACAAACAAAGCACGGTCTATAATCTGTCAAAACATACACTGGACGAACTTTTCTCACTTTGATTAATTACAATTTACGATGCTGAGGAGAAGAAGACCTGACTTAGGTCGTCGCAGTCAATCAAATATGCGAAGAGCTACCCCACGTGCTAACCGCACTGATGACCAGAGAAAGACAGATCAAGAAAATAGTCGTATTGCTATGTCAGAATTGCCTTCTTATATGAGTGACAATGAAGTAGATAGGCCTAGAATGCAACGAGTTCGTGCACATCAAACACAACAACAGCGAGTAAGACATAATAAAATTGATCGATTCCGCAGACGCAGTGCTCCTATGATTCTGGAACGAGCTGCATTCCACTATAATCCGGCAATAGATTATTGTGCCGACAAATCGGTAACAATTGGGGAATATATATATATATATATATATATATATATATATATATATATATATATATATATATATATTAATATTGGGGAATAATATATAAATATTGTAAGGCGTTAAATTACAGTCGTGAATCTGCTGAATTATGTTGTGCTGGAGGCAAAGTAAAATTGCCAGAATTGATCCCACAACCAGGTCCTTTACGCTCTTTAGTATTTGGGATTGGAAATGATTCTAACCACTTCTTGGCCAACATTTATATGACAGCTGTTTCCAGATGACATCGTTTGGCACCACACATATTATACAGAACAATTTCATGCCCACTGTCAAGGTATTATACCATAATATTTTCCTCGACTGTGCAATGGAACAAGACTGGCTGTGAAAAAGGTGATGAATAACGTCATTGAAGCAACAATCATAAAGGGAAAATACAAAGGAGAGGATGTCTTGATCCCGCGTATACCGATGATACCAACGGATTTACCTTTAGATTTTTAACGTTTACAATTTCTAGTACGTCTGGCCTTTGCGATGACCATAAATAAGTCGCAAACCAGTCGTTGGAAGTTTGCGGAATCAACTTGGAGTTTCCCTGTTTCCTGCATGGACAGTTATACGTCGCGTGTTAGCGCGTCGGAAAACCGTCATCTTTGTTTATTTACGCACCACAAAACAAAACAAAAAATATAGTTTATCAGAAAGCTTTAAATTGATTATCAGACTGTATCATAACTGTATGTCAATATAAAATTGAAATCTTATAAATAGCCAATATTTCGGGAAAATTCTAGTTTGTAAGTAAGCAACGTCATGTGTAATTAATCGAAAATGATAATAAAACTTCATTTATACCGAGCATTTTTTTATTTATTACGGATTCCTTTTGTTTGTTTTAAGTTTATTAAAAATTTAGATTTTTAAATTATCGGTTGAGGTAGTACGAAGTCTGCCGGGTCAGCTACTATAAAATAAATTTTCTTAATCTTTTTAGAGTTTTGGCACTGCACTGCTCAGTTGCATATTTCACGCTTACAGGATAAATAAAAATCATGATACCAACGTTGGACTGGTTTCATTCGATGCACAATTATGTTGTATACATAATCAGAATCTTATAAACAAATTAATAAAGAAATTGAAAAAATGGCCTAATCGATCTGAATTTCAATATTGATATTTATATTATATAATAGAGTACCTACTCTAGATGTTATATCTGCGAAATTTCTATTGACAGGGAGTTTTGGCGGGAACTTGGCCGTAGACGGATTGTCGCTCCTGTTTTGTCGCTTGAATAATGGTTTTAAGTGGATTTTGATTCGTAAAAGCGATGCGATTTTGTGAATTAAGTGTCCGTAATAAATAAACTTACATATCAAACTCCGATATTGATATATTTATAATAATCGATATATCGAAAATTCTATATTTAAAAAAATATCAACAGTTTTAGCTTTAACTTTTCAGTTGGAATGATCAGTTGAACTGACCGTGTGCGGCCTCCACTATGCAGCCCATTTACACGTCTAGGTTTACACGTCATTTCTAGGCAAAATCAGTTCGAATTGTACAACATAAAGTCAGCTGTTAATATTGTATATATAAAGACTTTCCATAGTAACGAGCCGTGTTGATGTAACTTTAGCATTGATGACTAAAATTACCCAAATTAGTTAAATCTGTAAGACGTGTAATATATTTAATGTGTAAGATGGTTTTAATTCAAATTGTAGTTTAAATTTTTATTATTTGGCCAAATTAATGTAAAATGTTCAAAATTAGTTATTTTAGCTGTTTATTTATTATTTTTACTTCGATATTTATTACGATAATCAATCTTGTATTTCTAATTTATTTTCATTCTAAGGCTGTTTGAATAAGTTTTCGTAACATAATAGGTCTGACGTTTGAAAGATTTATTTTCTACAGAGATTTTTAAAATCTCCTTTGGTAATTGTTATCGTTATTTTTTGCAACGTATTGTTGCGCGTCATAGTTGGTGTCTGGTAGATGGCACTAGCGCCAACTAGTATCGAATAGAGGAACTAAACTTTCTAGAAAACTTCACACTCGAATTTTCTACATCTAGTCGGTCGGGATCGGTATTTGCTGGAACATTGTAGATGTTTAAAGTAGTTTAGGGCCGCGACCGGAGCAGTATTGAATTTGCGATACAGGTGAAGATTTAAGAGCGAAATACAGTGCACTAAAGTGTTAAGTGTGATTAATTATTAGTGTGTATTAGTTTTCATTGGTGTTCGGTAATTAAAGTGTCAATTTGGTAATTCAATCGGTAGTTTTTACTGTCACGAACCCTAAGCTCGTAACAATTGGTGTTAGAAGTGGGTAAAATCATGTCGATTTTACCGAAGGACGACATGGAGGGTGTCCGTACCCGAAGTCAACGCCAGCAGGAGACGGACCAGAGACGATTTGGTGGTGCAACGCCGCAGACGTCGGAGGGCCAGCCACCGGCCACGGAGGCCGGCCCGTCAGCAGCTCTCTTTTCATCTCAGCTCAGCTTTTTATTGTCACGAACCCTAAGCTCGTAACAGTATTTAATAATAAATTAGTAGAATTATATATTAAACAGAATAGTAATTTTAAAATAATTATTTACAATTAACAGATTGTGAGTGACAAAAGTCGCAGGTGGAAGTAATTTTTATTTCGATATTATTTTTATTTTTATTTTGTTACCTTATTTGTGAGAAGTCGACGAAATAGGTATAAAAGATCAGCTATTACGAGTTCTATTTCTTTTCAGCATAATATGTTATCTCCCTAAGCAAAAACTTTTTTCGGCCATGTTTTCGAACATTGCTAGGTTATTTAGGTTTATACATAATGGCGGAACCGTGGTAGCTCAGGGGATTAGCGCTCGATGTAAATTTGACAGTCCGCGAGCAACCCAGATTCGATTCTCGTCGGCACAAATGAAAATGTTAATTGCATTAAGGGCTGATACGGGATAGAAATTGTGTGCTAACTTTACCAGTCCAATGAAATATAATCCAACTTTGAATAACTCCACAGCTGTTTTGACCGAAGCAAACCATGAGTCTCCAACTATAACTCTTCCAGAACCATGCCACGGCTCTGTCAATCTCGAAGTAGTTGCAGTCCAGCGCCAAATTCTCTTTGCCATTTCTTAGTACTCATTGCTTCTTTACCATCATTAATTTCCGATCTCATCATAATGTTTGTATTACTTTCACACGCTGTTTTTACTTCACAACCCACTGCTTTTGGTTTTCTTTTAATTTTCATAACTGCTGGCAGTACGCACCTCTTCCATACCAGGCGAACATGGATTCATCTACAGTTATTTTTGCACCAGAACGGATGGTATCTTTTAGTTTATCATTCACCATCATTACTAGTGTTCTGGTATTACGCCATTTGTCAGAATCATCAAGGTCTGACGGTTGTGTTAAGCGCAGGGCCACTAGAATGATCATACCTTTGATGATTCAAACCTTTGACGACTCATTCCAAATCTTTGTCCAAAATTTGCGGGGGGAAATATTCCATCGGAGGTCGTATTCCAGTGGGATCTTCGGTATAGCAGTTTTTGAAGAGTCATATCATATAATATACCAAAAAAATTCCTTCTCGTTCAACAGTTTCTGTCTAGGAGAAAATGAAGAGTTGGTACACTGGACTATGTAACTAAGTTTCTCTCTGGGAAATACCATAAAAAAAGCATCCTTGACACTTCGTGTAGGCCCCAGTGGTACTAGCAGGGTAGCTTTGAAATAGCCTTGTTGTCGCTGATCAACACGTATTGCTTCATGAAAAGTCCAGGTGACTCCCTTCACAACGGTTGTATTTCCAGCACAAGAATTTGTTACGCTGCTCATACGCGAAGTCGGATGGACTGAAACAGTTGTCTCGTCATCTTCACTCGAAGATGAAGAGCCCGATTCAGATGATGCTGAAAAAAAAAGCTCTATTAGTCCTAGCAATAGAAGCAAAGGGGTGAAAAAAAGCAAAAAATACATTTGAAATTAAAATTATTTTTTTTAATTACACACACATATATATATATATACAAATACAGCCACACTCATATATGTATATACACATACAAACTCACCCACACAAACACTTAAAAAACACTCCTACATATACATATTGAAAACAGCCACTATAACGAGCAATATGGGCGCTTTCAAGGTCAGACTATAGGTATAAACTTAGTTAACTAAGTTCTCGACTGTACATTTGAGGAAATTTTGTGGTAAACCAAAAATTTTAAATCCAAAAAAATGTTGTCAACCCATGCAAATCATAGTAACGAACAGGCGACCGACCTACTATTTTTTCATTGTAACGTAAGGCTACTTACAATTTTCTTCATTGGTATTTGCTTCCAATAAGTTATCGTTTTCGATATCAGCAATCAGAACAACGGGCACCAACGAAATTTTTTTGTTAATTTCCCAATGTACCCTAGCATAGTTGTTTTCTACCTTTCTTACAGTACCCCAACAATAACTTATATCGTAGTTATCACCAAAATGTTTGCGACTCCAGGTGTTTTGGCCATCATTTTCGTCGAAATATGTAGCTTTGAAGCGAACGCGGACACCACGTGTTATACTCGCCGCCATTTTGGCTAGACTGATCGCAGAAACACGATTCAAAAACTCGCTGAATCAGAAAGAGACGCAATATGCATGTTAGTCGTAGGCCTAGAAAGCCTCATATAACCAAAAACATTGCGTCCTACCGGTAGTACGAAAAGTCCTGCTGGCAGGACTCTGGACGTTCTATCATTAAGCATGTACTGTGTAATATGTAAGAGACGTACGTTAAACTCCGATTGCACTTTTGTTTCTTTTTCTATTTTTATTTAAGAACGTTTTTTTTTTCAAATTTGTTTAACATTCTAACACAGCGCATGCTGTGATTGCCTATAATTATAAGAGCAGTGAATCATATAAAATTTATAACGCTGTAATGTAACCAAATATTAATTGCTGTTTCTTGTGTTGGCAATCCAAATGAATAAATAAATGATGTATGGAAACGTCCAAGAATGTATGGAAACGTCTCCTTCTCCTTTTATTATTATATTAATATTTTGACAAAAATAATTTCTAATAAAAATACTTCCTAAAATATTTCTTAACAACCCAAAAATAATGTTTACAAATTTGTAAAGCCAAGAAGTTTTCACTTCTGACGTGTAGTCCTACGACTGACAGTTTTTTTCTTACTTTTTTTTTTGTTTTATGTGGTGAAATACCTATGCTTCGCGAAGACAGGTTACATCAGACTCGCACCGTCTAAAACTCCCGTGGTATTTTAGACGGTGCGAGTCTTCTCCCACTCTCGCCGCAAATTTGCAGGGCCTCGGGTCACCAGCGCCGGCCCTATTGCGGCCCTCCTCGGGAGAGGACTACTCCGCCCCCATTTCCCTCTCAGGCAAGGCACACTAGAACACATAGCGCGCCCTCCTCCGCGGCCTCCAACTTCACCTGCGCAACGGACGCCCCCGTGTCCGATGCAGGAAGGCCATAGGGCCAGGAAAAACGAGCACTTAAAAGCACTTTAAAACTAAGCATATAGAAGTAAGATAAAGTTCCTCTTGGCTCACTATATAAGACCGGAACACGGTGGTGAATAAACTCAAAGCTTTCCTTTAGGTAGATTGCGTTGGAGGGAGTAAAAAGGGGCACAAAGGAGAAAAAGCGTGTGTGCGTTCCAAGGCAAAATGGGTAACCTCAGCCTGTTGCGATATTCGAAAACGTGATCATATTTGCATATATACTGTACCAAACATGAAATCGTTCAAGTTTGTGTAATATTATGGTTTTAGCACATTTACATCATGTCTTTTATTAATTAATTAATTTATACTTTATTTATACGCGTAAATAAAATTGAGGTCTGTCTGCAATATCAAAATGAGTGTCTTTTATGGAAGATTAAGATGATTTTTACTGACTTCAAAAAGGAGAAGGTATTCTATTCGAATTTATGTTTTTTATGTGTGTTACCTCAGAACTGTTCTCTAGGTGAACCTATTTTGATGATTCTTTTTATCTGAAAGCTGGTGCTTCTCGTGTGGTTCCATATAAATTTAATCAAAATCTGACCAGTAGTTTTTGAGTTATATTTAATAATGCGTAATTAATTGACTTCGAATACATTGATGATGTTCTCATTTTAAGTATATTGAAGTCGGTTGCACAAAATTTTCAATTTTGCCCCTTGTATTGTATCTATTTTGAACAGGAAATAAAAAAAGATATTACGTAGATATGTGAAGTTCGTGAACACGCATAAGAGGAATGCGGCGGAAATTTCTAAGCACTAAAACCAAGTCAGAAATGAGAGGAGGCCTGTGCTCAGCAGTGGGACGTACATACCAGGCTGTAACCAATCTGAACAAAACTTAGTTTTAAAACATGGTTCATAATTGGTAAATTTGACACGTAAATATTTGGTTGAATACGCATAAATGAAGTCAATCTATCCATCCTTCTATTATAGATTATTATATTAAAAGTCCACCGCTGAACACAGGCTTCCTCCATAAACTGCCTCATAGAGGGGGATTTTGTAACTGTCACCATTTGACAGTTTATAAGCCAACAACAAGTTTACCAATAACAAGTTAAGTTAGCCAATAAAAAGTTGTTTTCCCGTGTTTAACAAAAGTTTGTGAGCAGAAAAGTATCCTTAACCGACGAGCATGTATGAGTGGGTAAACGGACGTGATAGAGATGCGAGAGTTATGTTAGGATCATGTCAAATGAAAGTTCATAGTATCTGCCTATTCCTTTGGGTGTTTAGGGCATGAGTGCTCGTAATATGAAAGCCTCACTTCTTAGAGGGTTTTAGGGCAAGGAAACGTCCGTCGCGCTGCCCCAATGCACGCTGGCAGACTTCCTATATCTACGAAATATATATTTTTTAATTACTCAGATATGCAGGTTTCCTCACGATGTTTTAATCGCCGTCGCGCACGTGGTACGAGGGCTGCACTGAAAATTTCGGGAATCAAGGAAGTGACATAACATTACTATTTAAAAATATATTTATTGCTTTTCGAAGTATTCTCCGCGAAATTTGACACATTTTTCCATACGATGGAACCAATCATTGAAGCAACCATTCCATTCGGAAGTTGGGGTCTCCAAAATGGCCGTTTTGTAGGTGTCCACAGCTTCTTCAGGTAATGAAAATCTCTGTCCACGCAATTTATTCTTTATTTTAGGGAAAGTATAGAAATCATTAGGGCTTAGGTCGGGGCTGTAAGGCGGATGGTCTAATAATTCCATGTTTTCTTGCTCTAAAAACTCTTTTGTTCTGTCTACGGTGTGAGAACTCGCATTGTCGTGATGGAGGATGATGCGGCGGTTGCAGTTCTCTTTACGGAGTTCAGAAACGACCTGTGGCAAACAAATGCTAGCATACCATTCTGCATTAACTGTTCTTTGTTCCTCAAGAGGAATAGTCGTAACATGGCTGGTTTTGGAGACAAACATGGCCACCATTTTTTTGCAACACCCCGTGAACGAATAATTTTTGTTGGCTTTAACTCATTTTCGAACACCCAAACTCGTGACTGGTTTTTTGTTTCGGGTTCGTACGCGTATATCCAGGATTCGTCACTGATACGATGTTGTATACAGCATTTGAGGATTCTGAGTGGAATCTTTCGAGAGTTCTGACGCACCAAGTAACGCGAGCTGCTTTTTGCTCTTCACAGAGCGAATGCGGTATCCATCGGGAAAAACTTTTTTACACCTAATTGTTCACGCAAGATTATTTGTATTTGACTCATGCCAATGTCTAAAGTTGCCTGAATTTCGCGGTATGTCACATGTCGACCTTTCTCAATCAGTTTACGCACAGCATCAACGTTTTCTTGGGTGACTGCAGTTTTTGGACGACCTTGACGGGAATCATCACTGAGCTTGACACGTCCACGTTGAAATTCAGCAAACCAGCGACAAATTGTGGTTTTGGATGGGGCTTCATCACCAAATGCAGAAATCATCCGGTCAACACACTGTTTTTGTGTTAAATCACTTCGAGTCATAATAAATCATCGCTCTTGAATTTTCTCGAGTCAATTCCATTTTCTCAACGACAATTCCATTTTCTAAACAAGTTTGACAAAACCTTGTGACAAGATCGAGAATCTTTTTTTAAATAAATAAATGGTATTCGATTTTTAAAACCAAGGAGTTCTCAATTAAAAAGATTTTAATATGACAGGAACATTGGAAATATTCCATTCCCGATACTTTTAGTGCAGCCTACTAAATCAGCACTTAAAATTGCAATTAACAATTTCATTGGTGCCGGCGGGGAACGAACCTGGGTAGCTCCCGTACTGTGAAGTTTACAGCGAGCGCTATGCTCCTGAGGTACCACGGCTCCCACGCTGAGTGCTTATTCAATAGTATGTGGCACTATTATATTCAATAATATAATAGTACCGCTAATGTGTAAGATTACGTCTTGGTACTAAAAAGATATGAATTAATTATTGATGGAAATGATGTATGTTCTTACTCTAAGCTGATAATTAGTGGTTATTTTCATCGTTTTCGTTTTCGTGCGAATGCCATTACTGCGTAAAAATACTATATAATATTTTAAAAATAAGACACTTTTCTTAACTTTACAATCTTTTCACAATCCTCATGTAGCAAAACAATTGAAAAACTTTAAAGTTTGTGTCAACAACGCATCTATATGTGACCTCCATGTTATTATATACGTTTCACTAACCTGAGTATCCACTTGAAAGGCGATCAATCAATTATATCGGTTGTACACGGACCATCCCTCCAACGATGCCTGCAATATTTGATATGTGAAGGGGTAGTTATCGCACGTTGGAGTCTTTTAGTAAGGCGGCAAAGCGACACCACATCAAGTAACTAATTCGCACGAAATGGTCTTCTTTACATTAAGCTCTTATACTTTTATTTAATTTTTTTACCTTTGTTTTACGCAGTTTATTTTTTATGTAACGTCTTCTATACGGAAATTTGAGCAAGTTCGGGGGTACGTTTCGGTTTTAGTAGTTGGATGGTCCTTTAGTGCATACCCTAGCAGTAGCACGCGCTCTATAATTTCATTTTTAGGCCATTTGCTTAGCATCACGACATGAGTGTGAATTGATTTGCAAATAAATTTAAAAAGCACGACAAATGAAAATAATAATCGTTTAAAAAAAAAGAGAAGAAGGGAGTATCCCCAAAACCCGCCGAAGGGAGGGGGCGCGCCTCCCGCCCCTGCGCGCGGGGAGGGGGGGGGGAGCGAACGGGGGCCCGCCAAAAAATACCTTTTTGTTATACTAGCTGTTTCCGATATTTCTTGCGTGCTGAACGAATTTGATTCCTAGTTTTTTAAGTAATGGAAGTAGCACGAATGCCGAATGAAACCTGAACTCTTCACAGCAGTTAGCAAAAGGCGATCTAACACGGCGCTCATTTGAGTTAATTAAGAGATATATACCGTTATCGTGGCGGCCTATTAAAGTCCACTGCTGAACATAAGCCTCCCCCATAGATTGCCTCATAGGAGGGATAATTTCCTTGGTTGCAACGCTTCACAAGGGTTGGCATCCGCAGTTTTTTTTATT